TCAGGGATTTCAAAACTGGCTCACATTCATTGCGTCCTCGTTGATTTCAAATGCATCGTTGACGTATGGGGAGCACTTGATGAAATCTCTATCTCACATGGGAGGAGTCAGAATTTCGAAGAGACAAGCTTTGGAAATTTTCCGAAACGGACGTGGCAAGCAATTCAGCATATATCGAGAAAGAGTTTTCGATGATGTTGCAAAGAAGTGGCTTTTGATCTATAGAGTCACGAAGGATTGCGGAAACGTCGCATACAAAGATTTCTTCGAAAAGGTTGCCGTTCCCGAGGTGAAGGAGAGGAACGAGATCTTTGGATTCTCCCGTGCATCCGCTGAGAAAACTGGAGATATCATCGAGTTCTGGCTTGGTGTGTTGGATGTGGCAAACATGGCCAAGGGAGTTGTGGACATTTTCAATGCCAGCGTCGATCCAGCCGAATATCTCAATGGATTGGAAAGGGCATTGGCTCAGTTCACTTCGACCTCCAGAACCTCAAGCACCATCAATGACAAGAGACGGGGATCCTTCGACTGCACACTGCAAACTGCAGAAGCCGAAAGGGTCATGAAGATCATCCACGCAATCCCCGGATACGACTCACTGGCTAACTTCTGCTGTCTTACGGACTGGGAGAAGGACCAGGTGTTCACCCACTATCGGAAGAAGAACAACATAACAGGGGATGATGCCAGCATGGGCACTGATGCAGATGCCAAGCCAGGTGACGAGTCGTCGGCTCACCCTGGGGAGGAGGAAGCTGATGAGCCAGCAAATGATCCAACCGATGTTGTCAGAGATTCAGAGATTTCCGGGAAGCAACAACTTTTGGATGCGTTGGGAAAGATCTTCACCGTCTCCGAGGATGTCAATGTGTGTTTGTATTGCGGTAGCACCAAGCACAGCCATCTTGAATGTGAACATGAGAAGAGAGATGAAGTCAGAAAGGTGCTAAAGGCCGTCCGAGCGTCGCTCGAGGCTGATAGTCCAACATCTGATGACGTCGATATGGAGCCTCCTGAGCACAAGAAGGACGGTTCAGGTGCTACTGACGGGTCGGGGCAAACGGAGGAACCCACAAAATCGAGGTTTAGTGAACACCAATGGTACGACTGCATCAGAACCATGTCCGAAGTTGGTGACCTCGATGAGTATGGTAGATTCTGCATAGAAGGACGTGATATCACAAAGCTAGGGCCACAGAACATTGTTGACCTCAACGAGGTGATCCGTGACGCTATCGTCAGAGGAGGAGGCGACTCGTGGTCCGTGCCAGAATTCATGGCAAGCTATTCTGATAACAACATCAGGAAGCCCTTCTACAAGAGAGTCGAGGCGCCGCAAGATGGTTTCTTGAAAATCATCCCAACGACGGGGGCGCATTTCTTCAATTGCTCCTATTTCGGCGGCGTCGAATATGCAGCAAACTACCGCTTTGACACTGGCAACCGACTCAACACTTACGAGGACAAAGTGAGTGCATCACTAAACAGGATCCTGCGGCACAACGTGGGGAAAGCATCAGAGCAACAGAGTCTGCCATGTGATGACGCCGGCTGGGTGCCCATCGAGGACGTGCTCAAATGTGAGTCCATCTGGAGGCACGACTATGCACGCTGGCCACATGTGTTCCTTGCTCCAAAAGGGAGAGCAAATGATCAGAGTGCGTGGAACCTCAAAGAGGCAAACTTCCGCATGACATTGCTCTTCAAGATCATGTTCCACTGTGCCCGGTATGGACGTCGTGTTCGTGAACAAGTCTTGGCATTTGGCATCAACAAGGACATTGAGCGCACAAGCCTGACGTGCATTGACAACAAGGTTGATGCGGACACGAACATCCCTGATGAAGGTCTACTGCTATATCCTGTAGCGGTCCGTGCTCCTACGGGGCACAAAGAAGGGTCATCAAGGGACGACGTCTCATTGCTGTCCTCATTACTTTCACATCCAATCGCGCCCAACACCATTTTATCGTTACCGGTTTGTTTCCACATCACCAAGAAGACCAACCTTCGAAGTATTTGGAGGCAGGGATTAATTCCAGGAGGTCTTGGAGAAGGTCATCGGATGTTCACGTTCTTCAACCCGTATGTTCCTTGGGATCACAGATCTTGGACCATCACGAAGAGCGTTGATACGCGAAGGGGGGACTACATCTGCTTGTTCGTCCCGACCGAGACCTTGATGGTGGAATATGGCGGTCGACTGACTGATTCGGGACAGATCGTTTCACCAAAGATCATCCCGTTCTCGGCAATCAAAGGAGGATGGATTCAGGACCCCAGAGACCAAAACCATAAGACGTGGCTCCGGTTGTTCGTCCCGTCGGGCGACGACCAGGTAGTTCGGTCTGGAACGGTCAAATCAAGAACGGTAGCCACCAAGGAGTCCATCTTGAGGGTTGCAAGGCAGTGCATCGACGCCGAAGACCAACCGTTTGACGAAACCGCCATGGATGCCATGAACATCGTCAACAAATTTGAGAACAACCTCATCGAACCTGGTGGACAAGAACAATACATGGCCCGCATCAAGCTGATTGACTATATAGTCGAACGCAAAAGGGTGCAAACATCAGGTTGCCGCCATTGTCCTCACTGTCTCAATGAGACGCCGACAAAGCTAGCAGTTTGTCTAGTTTGCTGGACGGAACTTGAAAGTTGTGGAATCCGTCCATATCGGCTACAAGCTCCTGAAGATGATGAGGATGAGGCCTCGAAGAAAGAGCTCGATGAAGAAGTTCGTCGACAAGAAGAGTCATTATTCAAGGATACGGTCAATCAAGCACAAGAGAACGTGTCCGAATCCAACGACTATGGCTTCAATCCCGATGAGGTCGATTACAACGAAGGCGATGATGAGGAAATGGATCAAGAGGAGGAAGCCCAACAAGAGGACGACGAAATCGTTGAAGATGACGACGACGAAATGGACATCGATCCTGAAGATGAACCCTCTTACAAACTTCCAGCGTGGACCAAGAACCTCGAGAGCGGCAGCAAGGGTATGCCAGAAGATGGACTCATCAACAATGATGTCTCCGAGGCCGCGGCTCACTTATACGACAACGCAGTCATGTCAAAGATCATCACCATGTTCCGGTTTTATTACAAACAAAGAGTCACCATGACCCCGGAGGAATACCATGAGATGATGACAGAGACCAAGCGAGTCCGGCTGGACCTGGACGACTTCTGTCCCTATACAGGAGAAGACCAGGATGGTAACCTCAAGCGACCGACGGAGCTGGAGTTGGACGAACTCTTTCAGGAGAAGGCGAAGAGGAATTCATGGTCAGAAGGAGAGAAGTTGTATTCAGGACGACCCAGAAACATGATGATGCCTGTCATCAAGACCTTGGAGATCTATGAGAAGATGATGGAATTTCTGGTATGCGCCGGATACACTCCAGAATCGCTAGGCTTCCTCATGCCAATGAACCGAATGCAGGCTGACGCCCAAGGGAAGCAGGAGATGCGAGTGACAATCAGCAATTTCCTTCGGCGACTTCTCAAAGGGACGTTCCCAGAGCACGAGTCGTACACCTTCTTTCGTTCCGGGAGCCACGGCTTCCCCGACTGCGTCGAACTTCCGGCATTCTCAGTCTATCTGAGCCTAAGGGAGAAAGAACAGAGAGTAGAGTTGCTCTTTGCAGCCCAACAGTGTGGAATTGCCTTACCACAAAATTTTGTCAGCAAGATGGCATATGCTATCCAGCTGGCTGAGGCTGAAGCGCAAAGGGGAAAGACCGAAATGAAAATGAAGATGGCTCCAACTCTTGGTGACGAAGTGGTGAGCGAAGTGTTTAAGGCGGTTGGGCACACTGCAGCTTCCAAGTTTACCAAACCACCCGCGCAACCTTCGCAGAAACCCGAAGGCACTGGTTCGGCATCATCCTCATCGACTAGCGCACCAAAAGCCAAAGCTATGCCAAAATCCCATGAACCGTCGAAGGCGCCGCCTGCAAAGCCTTCATCGCCGAAAGCTGCTCCAAAACGTGCGGCACAATGGGAGAAACCTCCATCAGCACCCCAATGGAAGAAAGTCCGCCGTGAGGAGTAAACCAATTGATTCATGATCACTGGTCTATAAGATGTATCGTCTTTGTGAACAGATGATCAGGAAAAGACCAACTGAGTGGATTCTGAGCGAGGCATTAGACTAATTCGCTTAGGTTCAGAACTTTGATTTTTTTTCCAATCTGCACGAGATTCTGCATTGTGCACGTGAATTCGTTAGTTAGCACTGTAAGTCTTTGGTAGCGAGGCGATCCATTTCTCCCGACGGGTGAGTGGAGAGCTTAGCGAACGTAGAAAAGTAGGTGTTAGCTAGCAATAATTCGCGTTGTACAGCTTGATGAAACGCCAATGCATCGACAGCCATAGAGTAGGTGAACCCTGAACCATTATACCCGACGGGTATGTGGGGAAGGGGGAGCCGAATGGCATCTTTATGTAAATAGGCGTAATCGTTTCCTATTCAAGTAGCAGGACCTCACTAATTCAAAGTTCCCTCTCTCGTGTCCGTGGTTCAAAGATACCACGGGCATGGGGGGTGCTAAAGGGAACGAAGCGACAATATAGGTGCATAAACTGTACATTTGCGCCAGTAAACGCATTGGGACGCCATTTGGCTCAAGACCCCATTGCAAGGTGAAAATAGCGCGCGGTGCTGCTTCATGTCTTGATTGGTTCGGTTAACAGCACAAGGGAACTACAACGTCAAGGATATCCAGAACAAGGATTCATTTGTTCACAATATTAATATAATATAATATCAATATAATATTAATAATATAATATTAATATAATATAAAATAATAATAATATATATATATATATATAATATTCATGCACTTGCTTCCAGATCTTGCAGTTACTTGGTTAGCAACTGTGGGTCATGATTAGTTATGACATTAGTTATGACCAATTTTTTAAATCATATGCATTGGATAGGGGATGATAGAGGACTCAGGATAGGATCCTCCAGCTGTGTTCAGGTTCAACTGGAGCCCATGCCGAAGTTTTCGTCCTGCCAGGGTGTGTCCTTGGCAGTGGCAAGGTGGCTAATTTTTTGGGTCCATTGTGGGACTTTAGGGAATCTAATTGGGATAAACAAGGGGATATCTCAGGATTTGATGAAGATTTAGGATGAGTTATGGGGATACCTCGGGATTTAACTATCAATAGATGGAGATATTTCAGGGAATTATCTGGTCTGATAGGGCATATAACTTATATACAGTATATAAACATATATAAACAATAATATTATATTGGGGGCTTGTACGGTGGGGCGGGCTCAGATATTTTTGACCGACTTTTGATGGGTCAGACCTGACAATTTTGAGGCAACCCACAATCTGAAGGTAAAACTCATCAATTTCCCTACTAGTTTGGCAATTTTGAGTTGTGTTTTCGATGGCAATTTTGAGTTGTGTCTTTCTTTCAGACACACAACAAAAAACATTAATGTGATTGCACGCGATATTGGATTTGAATGGATTTGACATTATTGACATTATTTGATAGTGAATTGCAGAGATTGAATTAAGCGCCTGGTTAGAAAGGCTGAGAAAGGCGAGATAATTTGCGCTCCACTTTGCCGGCTACAAAAAAAGGGTGCTTCAGATCCATTGCATACAAACATTTAAGTGCCATTGCTACCATTATTAATATGGGATATACAATGGGATATACATATATATATATATATATTAATATGGGTAGACCAGTCTTGCCCGTACTTACTGTATCTTACCACAATGATACCATGTTTGCGTCGCAGAAATTTCATCACCTTTCCTGGGCACAGGTGGCTACTGCTACCTCGAGAAACACTGCGCTGGACAGGAGATGTGGAACTGCAGGTGGGATGGGTGGAATGCGCTGTTGGAAGCTGGGAAAAACCATGGAAAAACCATGGCTTTCCTGTAGGTCTTTGTAGATTTCTCCCTTTCTTCCGGCCAAGTTAGACTTGGCTTGGATAGACTCCGGGATTTAGTGCCGCAGATTCAAGCAATGACTGAGGGCTACACTGGTTGCACCACCAGATATTAGACGGAAACACCTACACAATTGATCAAACTGGTCATTTTGGTTACCTTGATACCTGCAACACCCCGAAGTACTACTTGTTTTTGCATGATCTCCCGAAAATCCAACCAACTTCTTTGGAGATCTTTGGAACTCACCTCAGGTCTGAATAAAAAAACACTTGAACCCAGGTGTTGCGGTTGAAGGAGGATCCAGAGACTGAAGAACTGAAGATTTCGGTGGATCCTGGGCCGAAAAATCTCTGTGACCTTTCGTGACTGTGATTGCTATGCCGAGCAATCCTCGATGCCAAAAAGTTTGAAAGCTGGAAATCATGGTGCAAACAATATCATGGTGCAAACATAATCCCGGACAGAAACAGATGTTCTTGTGTTACTATAAACATCTACAAACCATGTAATGCTTGTAATGTAAGCGTCGCCTTAGTCGCCAGAATTTGATCCCAAAATGACAGCTGAACCAAGGTCCCCAAGGGTGGGGGCGCGGAACTGGGTCGCGCCTTTTTGCGGCTACCCAAAAGCAAAACGCAGTGGCTCAGTGCGCAGATATGGAGAGAAGAAACTCAAGCTGCGGCCTATGGAGACCTTGGAGACCTTGTAAGCTGGCAGATATGTTAGGAACTTGCGAAGTAAAGAAGATAAAGAAAGGAGAACAGCCAAGTTTTTGGAGAAATACTCTGAAATCATGATGTTTGCGTGCAGTGGGTAGTCCTTTTTTCATCCTCGAACAGCACGCAAGCCCCAGCGCCTCGGCCGAAGCAAGGCCTCAGATGGCCCAGTTGGTGCGGCAAAGCTTCGCGCAACCTGAGCTCAAAGACGTTGAGGCCAGCATGGATCCATGGATCCCCATGGATCCAAAAAAGGAGGTAAGACCAGATCATCTTGGGACATCTTGGGACCTTTAACCATGGGGGTGTTGAAAATCAGATCGGGGGATGGGAGTATCTTTCAGAAAGGAAAATGGCTGACGATGGCTGACCGATTTAACCGAAGGTCCCGCAGAGTGACGTGCCACCAGTTCAACTATTGGCTGTTTGTATCATTGGAATCCTCTTTCTGAAATCACCATTGATGACAATATCCCGGGTTTAGAAAAGCAAGAACATTCAAGAAGCCTATCTTGCAATCTGCAATGAGCTATTTCATGATATGAGTTTCTTTTTTTCGAACATGCCCCCAAATTGCAATCAAATTATGTCAAATTCATGATTTTCCCACCATTTTCCCAGCATTTTCCCTGCTTTTTCCCTGCTTTTCCTCATAAAAAGGTGGCCATTTCTGGCCGCCAGGCGCGCTGTGCCGTGTGGGTCGCGCAGTACGTGGTGCCCTCTGCGCGGGGCCGAGGCCTGGACCAAAGGATGTGCCTTGACTCCGTTGACTCCACAGATCCACCGGTGGATCTATAAAAAATGGATCCATGTGATATATGCTGATATGGTTTTTCTTAATATCTGGTTGGTGGTTTGGAACTTTTTTAAATATTTTTTTTATTTTCCCCGATAGTTGGGATGATGATTGGTATATTATTATTATTATTTATAATAATAATAATTATTATATATATATATATATCTGGGTAAATTGTAACGACCTCACTGCGACCTCACTATAATCATGGTGAGTAAGGGGAAACATCCCCATTAGCAGGTTAACAAACTAACTACTGGTTGGTGGTTTGGAACATTTTTTTAATATTTTTTATTTTCCCTAATAGTTGGGATGATGATCCAATCTGACTTTCATATTTTTCAGAGGGGTTGAAACCACCAACCAGATATATATATATTATCCAACATACCATAGTTAAAAAACACCACAAGTTCCATTTTTATTTATGTTATTTTTTTTTTTTTGTAATGGTATTTGATATGGTATATGATCCAAAATGACATCGTATTGAAATGTAATCTGAACATTTTTGAAATACATTTTGAATAATTCATGGTATTTGATCACATTTTATTTTTTTCCCACCCTATTTTCGTGAGTCATGCGAAAGAAGGCAAAGTCAACATTGAAAGTAAATTACCATTGACTCATCGTGTTCTGTCATTTTTATAGATGGCTATATAGATCGTACATCCCATTTCCCGAAGCCAAATCTTCTATGGAGATTTAGAGTGTGGCTCTTTCCCAAAGTTTCCCAGAAGTTTCAGATAAACCCGGTTGGTTTGATACCCAATGACCAAGTCACCAAGTCGGGCAGAAACAGGTCGCCACTGGAATGCCCATGGGCTGGGATTGGCATTTTTATCTCCTGAATGTGGAGCTCTTCCAGCTGAATTTGGGGTATCTATACTGAGACTGGTAATTTTTTAGAGTCCCAAATTCACTTCACATATTTTGCATATTTAACTTCATACTGATACTTTTCATATTCGGCATATTTAAAATCACGGTCAGTGGCTCCAAATTGGAAGTCCCCTTGAGATCTCATGGACATACCACTTTAAACACCTATCATACCCCTAGCCGTAGCCTATGAACTACCCAATCACACATGGAATTAAGGTTTATATATCTAATTCTACCAGTTATTCAGCCAGTAATTCACCTAGTTATGAACTATCCAACTATCCAGTGAACTGTAGCACTATCAAAATCCCTTCAGCCGCAAGCCCGAAACCGCGGTATCCATGGCGTCGTCACGACGCTTCCATGGCGAAGTGCTGAGGTTGTCCAAGATCTTAGACCTGCTACACTTCAGGGGTGACCTGGTCGACCTATATCCATCCGACGTGTGAGGGGGCAAGTTTTCTGCTGAAGTTGGTTGGATATACAGTACATGTCACTGACTAGAATCAACCCTGAAAAAACAATGCTTGTATCGGAATGATACTATTAGACATGTCTATATATACAATACACGTTATTGCATACATGTGGAGGTTTCCAAAGGCATGGGGGTACCCCCAGTCATCATCCATTTTAGTAGGGTTTCCCCATGTTTTTCCTTTACCATCCAGCTATTGGGGTACTCCCATTTATGGAACCCCCATGTATCAACAGCTCCAGGTTTTGACTTTTTGCTACTCATGGTGGACGGGCGGTCACAGCACCTGAAGACACAGTTAGAGGTGGGGCCGAGAAAACGAGAGGGTTCAGTTTTTTCATCGGGATCTCCCATATCAATGGGAATATCATTGGGATATGTAGTGGGATATATATATATATAATAAGAACAAGAATAATAACCTAGTAATAATAGTAATATATGTACATATATATACATAAATATATATCAACGGGATATATCTCAATGGGATGTATATCAATGGGATACACACACATATGTATATATATATGTACATATATATATGTATATATATACATATCTGTGAGATAAACGACCAACTATTGCCAACTATATATTCAAGATTGGCTTTGTCTAGAAATGGTGTATCCCTGAGTTGATGGTAATTTTATATGGGGGAAAACATTGGAAATTATGATATGCCATGCAATTTTGAAGTATTCTATTTTGAGACGAGCACATATAGGCGAAACATAGCAAAACTTCAAGCGATCAGTAGATCTGGCTCAAGATGATGTAAGATGATTGACCTTCAGAATGAATTGGATGCGTGAACAATCAACATAACCAGTCGTTTGTCAATTCAGCACATCACTAGTGTTAACAACATTGTCATGTATCATTGATAGCTTGCAGGGACTGCCAACGAAGCGTAGGAAGAACCCGTTCTCTAAATATGATTATATATGTATATATTAACACATAGATTCAGATACATAGATACATAGATACATACATGCATGCATGCATGCATGCATACATACATATATACATACATACATACAGACAGAGATACTTACCTTACATTACGTTACGTTACATTACGTTACATTACATTACATTACATTACATTATATTACCATACATACATACATACATACATACAGACATACAGACATACAGACATACAGACATACAGACATACAGACATACAGACATACAGACATACAGACATACAGACATACAGACATACAGATACAGACATACATACAGACATACAGACATACAGACATACAGACATACAGACATACAGACAGACATACAGACATACAGACATACAGACATACACATACGTTACGTTACGTTACATTACATTACATTACATTACCATACATGCATACATACATACATACATACACACACATACATACATACATACATACATTCATACATACATACATACAGACAGACAGACAGACAGACAGACAGACAGAGAGACATACTTACCTTACCTTACATTACATTACATTACGTTACGTTACGTTACGTTACATTACATTACCATACACACATACACACATACACACATACACACATACACACATACACACATACACACATACACACATACACACATACACACATACATACATACATACATACATACATACATACATTACATACATTACATACATTACATACATTACATACATTACATACATTGCATACCTTACATACATTACATACATTACATACATTACATACCTTACATACATTACATACATTACATACATTACATACATTACATACATTACATACATTACATACATTACATACATTACATACATTACATACATTCATACATTGCATACATCATACATACATACATACATACATACATACATACATACATACATACATACATACATACATACATACATACATACATACATACACATATATATATATGCATACATACATACATACATACATACATACATATATATATATATATGCATACATACATACATACATACATACATATATATATATGCATACATACATACATACATACATACATACATACATACATACATACATACATACATACATACATACATACATACATACACATATATATATATGATTATATACTGTAAATATATATACATACGTATGATAATATAATATAATATATACACACTAATCAACTGCCTTCCATTTTTTAAAAGTTGAACACCAACCAGGCAGGCTGTTTGAACGTTTCAGTCATGTCAGCTGACATCCCATATCCCAAGAATCGGTGAAACAGCAGGCTGGTTTGGTGGATTGGTGGATATCATCAGTATATATAAATAATCAATATGATATGTGTATAATAATGTATATATATCAATATATAATATACTGATGTTGAAAAACCATGGAGGGATAGGTGGCCCAACCACCTTTTCAAAAGCTCGGAATTGCTGGGGTGAATTCAACAGCGCAGGCGCATTACGAAAGCCAGGGCTTCGTGAAGATCGCCGAGCCCAACGTGATGGGACTGATAGGGTTGATGTGGCAGGGTACGTTGAAGATAGGCTTTTCTGTTAATTAAACAAAATAGTTCTAGCAAGGTTGGCACTCTGACGGTCCCCTACCACTCAACTTAAAGATCTTAAAGATTGGTTATTTGGCCAAATTTATGAACATTAGGGCAGCTAGAGTCTATTTTTAGATATGTAATTGAAAACTGATAGGGTCCCATCACTGTAGCTAGTTGCCAACGCCGTGGCCGGTGGCCTGTGCGTTTTGTGTGATTTTCGTGATTTCTATGTGTATATATATATAATATAGGGTGGGGTGGGGTGGGGTGGGATGGGTTGGCGGGGATGTTAACGTTCTTAGGACCACGTCCTTTATGCTAGGTTGATAACATGTTGAAATACCTTGGAAGACGCTCTTGATGCTACGTTGATAACATGTTGAAGTCACTCGGAAGACGCTCTTGATGCTACGTTGTTAACATGTGGAAGTACCTTGGAAGACGCTCTGCATCCTATGTTGATAACATGTTGAAGTCACTCGGAAGACGCTCTTGATGCTACGTTGATAACATGTTGAAGTAGCTTGGTATATAATATATATATATATACGGGGTGGGGTGGGGTGGGGACGCAACAAGAATGTGAATGACAAATTCACACCTGCACAGATGTATAAAGAAATGGCAAAGATTTGCAAATGGCGACCATGAAGGATAAAAGTGCCGCCGCCGCCCACAGGCCACCCGTCACCGCGTAACCTAGTTTTGTGATGGGGAGCTGCACGAGGGAGATCAAACCTCACCTGATGCCCTTGTCTAAATGCAGGGAACATTGTAACCAGAACCCTTTTAGACTTAGAACCAGGATTTTCCGCACCATTTCCGAAACCAACATACACCAACCAAGCCAAAGTTTTCCCGAATGCCATTCTTCATATCTCCCATTTTTCTTGCTAGTTCAACCCTCAAACATGTTGGTCCCAGTCCTGGCACAGGACTCCAACGCGCCATGCTGCGCCCTGTCCGTTCCGTTCCGCGCCCCGGTGCCCCGGCCCCTTCGGTCGCGGCGGTCCGTAGTGGCGCCACGCTCAGGGAGGCAGCGAAGGATGGGCTGGACGTGGGGAAGAACGCCTTTCTGCTGGCGCATGGCTATGTGACTTTGGATGAGCTGTGTGAAACACCTCTGTTGGAACGAAGATTTTCTACAGCCCAATGTATTGGGAATGATTTTCCTAGAAAATGTGGACATATGGAAATGGTGTGATGAGAGAACATGATGAAGTGGGCATCTTGGCTAGTACACCGCAGTATAGGATATCAGTTTCAGGTACCTCGACCCCAAATGTTCAGTACAACGATTTTGGTTGGGACTCAAGTCTAGCCTGCGGTGAGAGGTCTGGAGCAAAGAAGCTCGGAGAGAATGGGACTTGTGGTAGCTTAAGTGCTTATCAGGTATCCGAAAATGCGCAAGGGCCCCAAAATCCAAAGTCGTGGCCCACAAAATCTGAGGTCACCATCAAAGTCGATTTGCTTTGAAACTGAGGTTTGCTTGCCTCTGTTGATTGAGTTTGTCAAGGCCGGATGGCTAGAAGTGGCTTGAGTGTGTTGAAGTCATTGGCCTCCATCGTCTAAATGCGGGAAAGCTCAGTTTTCGGCCATGAAATGATATCAAATGTACTTCAAATGGGTGTGTCTGAAAATAGTGTACCCCTAAACCCAATGGTTAATGATCATTATCCCTATTAAATGGCTATAATTGGGAATATACCCTATTTTCAGACAAACCCAAATGTATAATGGGACTTCATTGATTTTCAAAACCATGAGATGGAATGGGGTACGCTAATATTCAGAGAGCAGGCTTATATCTTGAGTGGACTATCACGTTTTTTTCAGTGTGAAACGTCGTATCTTCTCAGCATTTTCTCATCATTTTTCAGAGGTTCATCATCATATTTACAAGAAACTCATCATTTTCAGTCATTATTTTCCTCATTTTCCCAATAATGTTCCCTTTTTTTCAATAGAATAAACCTAAAGTCCGACAGTTCCTTTCCTGCCAGTTGCTGCCTTTCCTGCGCAACGGGCAGATGCCGTCTGTACAGACCGGACCGATGAAGGTGAGGGATCCTTTGGCATCTTTGGGGCTTTCCAAAGTCATGGGGGTAGCCCCAAATATCATCCGGTCGGAAAATGGATCACCATGACTTAGTATAGCTTAACCGTTAATGGTGGAAAAATCTTCCATGACAGGAACTTGAGGACCCCCCAGAGATATCGATGACAGGTGACTTGTACTGGAAACGATGGTCTTTACTGTTTACCATCATTTTTTTTTGGGATTTTGAGCAATCTCTTCTTTCAATCAACTCAGAGTGAGTTGGTGGTTTCAAATGGTGCTTCAGCCCCTCATGGGCGCTCTACCAGCCATACCCCAGATGTGATCCACACCCATTTTGATGCCCATGGAAGTGTTTTGTAGAACGGGCTAAACATGGGGACTCATCCAACCACAACACTCAAAGGTTGGTGCCATGGTTGGTCATGCTCGGAGTAGATATGGACGAATTTTGCGCGTTTTTTTTTTTTTCTGTTCTTAAAGGACGGTAATCCAGCATGGCTAGCCAAGAAATCCCTGAACCGCAGAAGGTTTTCCATTGCCATGTTTGATTCCGGGAGGCGAATTGATGGTTCATGATTTTTTTTTCTAAAATCACCAACTCACCAAAATTCATCAGAATTCTATGCGAGTTTCACGATTGTACCCAAACTGGCAGGTGCTGATGCGTACCATGATGATCCTCGGATATGTGGCTTGGCGATGCAGCCATGGGCCAAAATCTGAGACCAGTTGGACCGACAAATTGTTTTCTCAGTATGGACATCTCCAACTTTTGGGACTCCCAAGTTGGAACAAACGTGAAGGTGATCAAAGGACATCAAATGGTGCCTCTCCTGCTGGAAGCTGTTCGGAACCCTCCGAAAGTACCCCATCATACCCCATCTTCAGCGGTGAATGGCTGGTGTCAACCATTTCAAGAATTCCCCGGTGATACAGCGAACTTAGGTGAAAGTGACCACGCAGGCGTCGACCCCGGAGGGATCCCTCACAAATTTCAGGAAACGAAGCAACCAAAGATACACCGGAAACGTTCGGCCACATATGAACACATGACTGGTTGGTGGTTTCAAACATTTTTTATCTTCCATAATATATGGGATCATCCTTCCCATTGACGAACTCATATTTTTCAAGATGGTTATTGCACCACCAACCAGATGATTTCGTCCATTCCACTGATGTCGTTTGGCTGGTCGTGTATCCCCACCTTGGTTTCACCAGGGCGATATCGGTTTCACTGTGGTGGAGTCCGAAGAGGTCAAGGCGCATTTTTTTTTTTGGCCCCAGGTTGTTGGTTGAGTTGGGAAGATTCACAGTGGAAACTCACCTTTTTTTTGGGGAGAAGTGTCATGTTTTTCGAGATCTCCTGTAAGGTTTCCAGAAAAAAATCCAAAGATAAGAATCCGTTGACACTGGCCAACCAAGCCCGATGATGGTGAGGATGGGCAAAAACATTTGAAAATGGCCGAAGAAATGAGGTTGGAGACCTTTTCCCATTTGCCAACGAGTATGGCTCAAAACTCGAAACCTTTCAAATTCATTGGAACCAAAAAATGTGGCAGAGAAAAAGGCACGAAACTGAGGGAGCCTTTTGTGGTTCCATGGGCACCTTTTTATGTTTGGTCGTCAATCCAGTAAGCAACAGTTGGCATATTCATAGATTATCACGAACTATAATCTAATAGTTCATAAGTCAAGTAACCTATAGTAGATTCACGGACATAGATTCATACATAAATGTGTGGGAAAAGCTGTAGTAGCTTCTGGAACCGGGTGCCACCAAGCGTATATTCCGAATATTCCGTGTCCCATCAGAATCTCCAATAATGATCCCATAAGTTATCCCAATGATGTTTCTTGATATTCCAGAGCTATCGCGTATCATCCATCATCCATATATACATATATATAATATACACAATATCCGCAGAGCAATACACACAATATGTATATGTATATATATCCATAATAAGTATCCATAATATATCCATAATAAGCATATATAATACATAATAATAATATATGTATCCATATAATACAGTATATGTGTGTGTGTGTTCCATAATAAAGTATCCAAGATTTCTCCCATGATTCCATGGCAAAAACCATCCCCGTTTAACGTGTCGGTGTAGTGTAGTTTAACGGTGAGGCATGGGAGGAGTTGCTCAAGGACAGCGAGGAATTGTTGGAACTCTACCAGGTACGACACCAAGAGTGGTTCCCATAGGATAAGAAACCCAACTTTGCCTTGTGAATCAAGTTGGCTCAATTTTGTGATCGGTAAATCTGATGATTCACTTGAATGGTTCCTAGAGGCAAACATGTTGACAAATCTCCGGAGTGTCATTGGCGTTGCCCTCAAAAAAACCGACCCCAGATGTAGGTCAGCCAGATTTTGGTCAAATTCCAAGGCATCGTTTTGTCACATGGGTCATGGGTGAACTAGGCCAGGATTCGGAGGATCCTCCAGGGTGGAATCCCCCCCTTCCATCCCTTCGCAGCTGCCTATCTCGATCTTAAGAAGACATATGATATGATAAATAGAAAAAGTTCTGAAATCCCATTAAATCCATTAAAATCCCTGATTTCATTATATCCCCAAACATTGCTGCCTAGTACTGTCCCGTTTTTTCCAAGTTTCAGGTGCCTCTCCCCTTCGACCTCGACAGCTCCAGCCTACCCGGCTACCTCTCCCTGCGCCTGCGCTTGCGGCGGCGCTTGGAGATTCGAGGCACCACGTGGCCGCCCCCGGTGCCGTGGCGAAACCATGCGAAACCGCCAGAGGATGGGGATTGAAACCATAGGGGTATGTCTGAAAATGGTGTATACCCCCAATTATAGCCATTTAGTAGGGATAAAGATCATTAACCATTGGGTGTAGGGGTACACTATTTTCAGACAAACCCATAGAAATGAGTCATTTACGGCATGAAAACCAAGGGATTTTCACTGTCATCCCATAGAAATTTGTAGTTTGAGGAATCAAAAATTGAAGGACCGGATAACCCCAGATGTCAACTTCTTCCAATCAGCACAAAACAGATGTGAACATGAGATGGGAAGGCATGAAAGATATAGGAGATGGTGGAAGACAGATTGTGTGAAAGAGTTGTGTGTGAAAGTGTTGTGTGTGACAATGTTGTATGTGAAAGAGTCGTGTGTGAAAGGTTGCGTGTGTGTGAAACATCTCAATAGATGCAAAACTTGTACCTTGATTTTTCTTAGTTGCAGGGGGCTGCAGGGAATGTCATAGTTCTGCAGCCAACGAAGACGGGTATGACATTCTGTGATGTCTATCCGGGACGCTGGATCGACGTACCTGCTTCAATTTTCATGTCAAATTTCTGTGATGGGCAGTGGCTAACCCAAAAACCACCTCGCCGTTTTTTCAAAAAACATTTCACGGAGGTTCGAGCTCCTTTTTCATTCTTGCACAGTTGGCGCAATCTGAGACTGCGGTAAACTTCATGTTTAATTTATTTTCCGATATCTGAAATCAACCTTCACATGGGCTTTGGCAACTTACACTGGCTATGGCGACGGGAACTCCGACAACTAACACCAAGGTTCACCAACCGTGCAGGCGTTGTTGGTTGAATCATCACCGAAAACATTTTGTTTGGTGGGTTCTTTCCTCGTGAACTTGCCAATTTTTGTTGGTATATCGTGGTGTTCATACCCATATTTTTTTCATCGTTCACACTGCCACCAAAATTAGGTTTGAAAATAGGGTACCCCATTCCATCACCCCATTCCATCCAGTGGTGAATCCGAACCCAACATCAAAATGGTCTTTGTTTTGGGGTGTGTGTATGTAGTTAGTTTTACATGTACATATATTATACAGATATATATATATATATTATACATATATATATTATACATATATATATTACAACTATATATATACATACATACAGTATATATATATATACATATAGTCAAACATAATTATATATAACTACATGTGCATATCCCATATTGCCCAATAATATCCTCATTTTTCTTGGTTGCCATCCTCCAATTTTTGCCAAGGTCCTGGCTCTGTTTGACTGCGCCCTTCTGGCACCCCTGGCTGTTGCCCTCTTCTGCGGGCGGAACGCCCGGCCAGCGGAAAGACCGGCCTGTTGTTCGGCGGATTTGGATCCTTAGCCATGCGAAGGGTGGGATGATTTAGTAAGATGAAGGAGTGAGTCAATAGAAAAATATAAGAACAACTATAGACTTGATATATTTTGACTTTACTAACAAAAATTGGAATTTCGGGGGAAATTACATAATCAACAACAAATTAGGTGTTTAAGTGTAACGGTGTAGCCAACAACAAATATCAAAAAATGGGTTTAACCAACCAAAGATAGGGTATTCAACCAGCAATCATGAACAGTTAAGCAGCAACACCAACTATAATCAACCAAACAGATGCTGAATTGTTGTTGGGGATTTATATGCAACAATGTCATCACAATTTCCATGAGGCCGCATTGTTATGCATTGTGAAATTGATTTTACAGTATACTACTGTGCATAGGTGATCATGATATTGTTTGATAGACAATGCAGTCTATATATATATTGTTATTTATTGATATTACACCTTTTGGCATTTTTTGCTTGTGTGTAACCCATGTACTTTTATACATGTAGAACATAATACATAAGTTACTTAATCAAATAGCTTAGCATAGCTACATCCATGAATGTTTGAATCTTTGTCTGTGCATGTATCGATAATATATGATATTGGTAGAACCGTGCAGACATGTATTTTTTTTTTCCACCTATTGTATATTCCCATGACATATCCTGGTGATATTCGCATGTGCTTGGTCTTTTAGCCCATTTACCCACATGTTTTTCCCGGTCAAATCAGGGGTATATATCACTCCATACATGATAATTCAGTCGTCAGAATTAAGTCTCTATATATATATATACATAATATGTAAAAGTAGAATCGCCCATATTTGCCATCTTAAGATAAGCCTCTGGTAACACTTTGCGAAGCGGAAAATCACCATCCGCACAGCTTGGACCAGCCCAGAGGATCCGCTGCTACGCCAGATGGCTCTTGGCCACTGCGAAGGTGGATGGACCAAGGGAGGCAACCGATATGAAAGACTGATTAGACTTGATATATATATAGATAATTATATATAATTATATATATATATATACTCCATGTGTATATATACATATATATGAATAGTACATATATATATATACATACACATATATGAATAGTATATAGAAAAAACATATATGTCTTCCTTGGACATGATATATAAAACATTATGCATTTATTGAATAGACATGACATTGGTGTTTTTTTTCCCTTGGCCTTGGTACAGTCAACGACTTTAGTCATACAAGTAGATTTCATGTTTCGGAGCTGGTGCCATGGGGGAAAACCTCATTTGAGATTTTGTGTAGTGTGTGAGATGTTTTTACACAAAATCTAATAAAACTTCAAGGAATTACTGTAGGTTGCAGTTTGCATGTCGAGGAAAATTCGTCTTCTATGTATTCTCCCCTTGGCTGGGACAACTAGTTTTTCACTGGGTTGAAACTACCAACCAATCTTTTTACAACTATAGAGTATATATTTACATACATGGACATACACATTCACATATATATATACACATGTTTAAACCTTGTATGCGCATAGGGTGGTATGGAAGAACCCGTCATTACAGGTGTTAGGCCCTCCATTCTGGTCCGTGAAATCCCCATGTTGCGATCCGCTAATTTTTGCAGCGTTAGAAACCGCACAAGTGGGTTGCTCATGTTTCAACCGGGGAAACCTTGTGTACTTTAACACTAACCAATCTTTTGCCATAGGAAAAACATGGAAAAACAATCAATCACCAAACATGCGAAAGATCTATTTTTTCCTGGCTACAGATCTAAATTCTAAGATTGCAGGGTATCCAAGATTGGCCACAGTAAAACCACCTGATGCTTGGGTGAATCTTTCAGGTGGCCTGGAGTTGCTGGCCATGCCACTGCAGCGCTGTCAGACCTTGTTGGTGGCCACCTCCTATGCGCCCATGTCACCTGTCAGCGTCAAGTGTGGGGATTAAAGGAACACCCAGCAATTTATGGGGATGAATTTATTTATGAGATATAGAATCAACAATATGCTATAGTCGGCTATAGTGCCTGACAAGGGGGGATACCGAACAGTTTTGTCAACTGTGAAATTTGTGAACATGAGGATTTAGATCATGGAATGGGGTACCCTCTGGTAATTTAACATAGCTATGGAAAATCACCATTTTTAATGGGAAAATCCACTATAAATGACCATTTTCAATAGCTACGTTAAATTACCAGAGGGTATCCTATGTTCAGACAAACCATGCGTAGCAGCTTTTTGTTCCACAATGGAGTTGTTTCTACTCCGGCAAAGGGCTGGGGAGAGTAAAGTGAGGTGAGATTCTGCGGACAAGACGTATTGACATGTATTGACCTATTAGAAACAGGTTTGAACCAGCAATAGTTTGGTTTTAATCAACAAGTCAGTTTGGTACACAAAGTAGTGTCAGATGAAGTTTGGGCGGATTTTGACCAACAGGAACTGGCGCAGCAACACCAAGTGGATTTCATCATCACCTTCAGATGCCTTCAGTAAACCAGCGATTTGGACAATCCATCATTTGTAGATCCCTTTCGACGTCTATGTCGCATAAATTACGCCGTATTTTGGGTGTGCTGAGGTTGGCCAAGTTCCAGCATGTGCTCTACAAGGCGAGCTCTGGGAACTGGCCCATTTATGATTTACGCACTAAACATGGTGATTTTCGATCGCCTCCGGGAATGAAACGTGGCAGCTGAGAATCGTCCCTACATGGAGGTTTTAATGGTAACTTCATCTACAAATGGGGGATTACCCATGGCTATCTGGTTGGTGGTTTGGAACATGTTTTTTAATTTTCCATAATATATGGGATGTCATCCTTCCCATTGACGAACTCCATCATTTTTCAAGATGGTTAAAACGCACCACCAACCAGCTATGTTTGATGACGGGAGCCGAGCGGGAGCGTGTCTTAAAACTGCCAGAGAGTAACAGGCAGATGGACTTGGTACGAATGGACCACCCAATTTGTTATTTTTATGATATGAACCCATCCATAACTTGGGTTGAAAATCTTGACCCGTAGCCATATCATTCCACCTCAAAACTCTTCCGGCAAGCGAAACACCCCAGGAGCCTTCCTGGGGGTTCAACGCTACAAGCTCCGGCGAGGATCAGCTGAAGTTCAATCGGAAATGGGTGAAGCCAGACATTTCAAAAATCGGACCATTTTGGGGCCATTCAAAAAACCATGTCCTTAGGATTTCTATGAGCCATACTGAGTTGAAATCTCTTGGAGCGATGGAATGGCCCCAGGCTCGGTGCGACATCTTGATTTTGGGGGTCAGTCTAATGCCTTTTTGTTGAGCAGCTGGAAGTGAAACCTCGATGTTTTTCACTGTTTGTATCTATCCTTGGGATGATTGAAGGGAACATCTACAGAAACCATGGATTTTTCCCGTGAGCCTTGGGGCCTTTGGGGGGTTCCTGCAGAAAAAAACCATGCAACCAATCCAAGGGAAACTATTTGTTGGTGAAAACTTCATTTTCAGACACCCATGTTGTTGAATATCCCACTATATCAGAACTAAAGTCGTCATATAGATCCATATACCCAGTATATTCCACTATTGTTTCCCATTCCCATTTTATCCCAATTGTGCCCTATTGTGGCTGGATATCCAGTGATATCCACTATAATTATTCCAATTATCCCGAGTTATATCCCAATGATGTTGGTAAAATCACATTATATCATATATATAAATATCCCTATAGCTCACATATACAGTATATATATACACATCCCACTTTAACTGTGGGTTTTTGGACCATTGCCTTCTTCTCTGCGCATTTCTGTTTAAAAAGGAGCTGCATGTGGACCGGACGCTGAACGTGCTGGGAAGTGGCCTACAACACAAGGCCGAGATGAAGTGCTGAAGTGCGGATCCTTCAACGAACAAATTGGTGTGGAACAGAAATTGGGAAGCGCATAAGATTATGTGGATTCCCGATTAATTTATTGGGGACACACACACACACAATACTTCCCATTAATTTCCACTTATCATGTGTTAACAATATACATATATATATTTTGAGATAGCATTGTTATGTTAATGGGACACATTCTGATACGTTTGCTTATAGCAATGGGATTTTTCAAGGTTTCCCCAGAACTTTCAGACAGTCCCACATGGTTTTGCGGTGCTTTTTCAGATAGATTTTTGGTTATGGCGCTCAGAAAGCGGGTACCAATGGTCAGTCGGACTCTGTGGTTTCAAGTCACCGTGAGGGTCGGGAAAACACATAGCCCTCAACCACTGCGATTTCGCATGGAATTGTGGACCCCAGCTGAAGAAGGGTTAATTGATGCTCCATGAAGCAGTCCATGCACCGAATTCTAGGATGACAAACGGATGGTCTACGACCATAGATGAGTACTCGTAGTTTGTGCTCCCCTGGGGCAACAAAAAATTGACACATCCCCAAGTCCCAGTCACTGACCCGTGGATTTTTTTTTGCATCAATTCAAAATCCCTATTTCTTGGATGGTCAATGATGGTCAGGTTCCCTTTTTTTTTGCAGATTCCAGGCCTTCTTTCGGGACCTACTGGAGCTGCTGAAGCCTCTCTTTACGTGCGAGTTGAAGCAACAGCCTCGCTACGTGGCGGATACAGGCTGGGATCATGGGATGGAGCAAGGTGCGGAATACCATGGCGTTACAAAGATAGATCGGGTAAGGGTTGCAGATTCAGGATGGAGCTATATGTCTGCTATATGTCTTCTATATTCTATATTAATCTATATTATATATGTCTTCTATTGCTAAAGGGGACGGTTCTCAGTGTCAAATTCCAATCCTTGAGTCCTTGAGGTAGAGACTGCGAACCAGCAGATATTGCTTTCTGAAAGTGATTTGGCACTGAAGGAATCCTGCGAATTCAGCCTTGAGTCATGCAGGGTGTGGTGATGGCAGTTTGCTGATGCAAATCTACAATTTCGTCTGCAAAAGCACTCTGAGGGGTGAACACCTCAAGGAGCAGGGCTGGCAGGGGCTTCTGCTGAATACACCATGCAATCTGGTCCGTTTAAGTGTGGAAAATCTAGTGCCTTCATGCGCTTTTGAATGCTTTTCGTGTGGAAGGGGAGATGGTTGGAGCATGAGTCCAACATGGAGACCCTCCCAGAGATCAAGTTTTAAATTCTACAGACACAAAAATGTGGGAAAGCCAATACCATAAACCTACCATCTATGTTTTATGCCACCAATGGTGATAACTTAGGGCTGGTCGTCGCTGGTGCCACAACTGGGTCGATGTCAGGACTTTCCGCTGACGATGATTGGCATTGATTTGTGGCTTGGTGGCGTGCTGTGTGGTGTGGCAATCAGTGCAGCCTGGAATTAAAAACGTCACTTTCACAGATCATGTATCTATATCTATATGTAACATGTATGTATATATATAACATATATATATATAGATGTACGACATGTACTTGGTTTGTTTTGCTAACCAACTGGAGTCTAATTGCGTTTTTCCCATCCCAACGATCCAGTTTGTTTCGATTCCAAGGAATGATGCGGCCCTGCAAGCAGCGGGGGACAAGCTGTCAAAAGCGCAGGTTCGGGTTTTTCAAGACGTCCCAGTGGCGAATCCCGAAAATCCTCTGCTTGCTATTGGTCGGATCATCATTTTTTTCATACATTTTTTATCCAGTTGTTTCTCAGATTGCAAAAAAAGTGCTGGTATACCCCTTGAAGTCCTTAAAAACGCGCTCGGGTAATTTGACATATGGACAATCGTTCATTTATCTAGAATTTACTGATTACATCCCATTACAAATGGTGATGTTCCATAGCTAACTCTGAAACTACCCTTTTTGTCCTGTGCCGATTTTTTTTTCACTCTGATAGTCCTACGAATTTGTCTTCCTCGGCACAACTTCATGAGGATCGAGCAAACATAGGGATTTGACCATACAAAATGCTCGCAGATATGGTGAGATTCCATGGAATATATATATAGCAGATATAGCAGATATAGCCTCTGGTAATTTAACAGCCTATGGAGCATTGCCCATGTATATCCCCTATGTATCCCATGATATGTGAAAATGGGATACATCACTACAGCCGCCCAGGTACCACATCAACTCATCCACGGTGACATTGGCCAGCCAGGTGGGATTCGACGGGATTTTTTTTTCTGATCAATACCCATAGCCAATATCAGGAGTTTGCTTCTTTGATACGGTTTGATCCGAAATTCTTGGCAGAATAGAGTGTTATGGGATGTCTATTTACTGCAATGTATTTGGGAGTCTTTCATTGTGAGGCACATCCAATGCCTCGAAACACAAAAACATGGGGCGCAAGTGGCGAGGGCTTCAAGGATCAGTATGTCACATATCCTCAATGTTGGCAGGTTGGAGCGTCCACCTGCGAGCCTGGGAAAGGGCTGTCCTACAGAGATGTTTCATGCTTTTCGTGGTGAGCTATAGGACTATAGGGCATTGATGCATTAAAGTCCCCACAACATATACAACATATACACCCAGAAGATCCAAAAAGAACTTGCCAGTGCCATAGAGACATAGCGCCACAGAACTCATATCTGCTTGCAGGTGCGATTATCCAAGAGATGCGACACCGTGGAATCGATCCCAGGCAATGTCGTCTGGATTCCCTTGTATTATGGCAAGCTGTATGCTCGCAATTGATCGCATTTACAAGCAGGCCTCTTGTGTGAGATGGGAAAACTCTCATCAAGATGGGTTTCTCCGGAAATAGGCTACCCCATTCTATCTACTCGTACCAATGGTTACTGGTTTATCATCATTTTTACACATGAAAAGTGTTTTTTTTTTCCTGGGTACCCCATGATATTCCCCATCTTCAGACATGATCAAAGATTATATGGGTATGTCTGAAAATGGGGTATACCCCCAATTATAGCCATTTAGTAGGGATAATGATCATTAACCATTGGGTGTAGGGGTACACTATTTTCAGACAAACCCATATATGGTTGGTTAAGGTATATCCCATTTTATCCCATGATTTGATCCCATTGTTATCCATTAGATATACCTCATTCATTGACACTTAAATCCCCATTATTTCACCATACCCAAAACACCCCCATCCCTATCAATCCCTACAGATGCTATAAATCCCTCTTAAATTTCTACAGATCCTAGTTGATTGATAGTCAACTCCCTGTAAAATCCTTATATCCTCCTCTAGAATCCCTACAAACTCCCTATAAATCCCTATAAATCCCTATAAATCCCTATAAATCCCTACAAACTCCCTATAAATCCCTATAAGCTCCCTATAAGCTCCCTATAAAACCATATCAAACCTATAAACTCCTGAAAATCCTATGCCGCTCCAGGCAGGTGCTCCATGTGCGCAGTTTCCTGGACCACGATCGGCCCTACGTGGCCCCAGTAAGGCGGATCGCAAGAGGTGCGCAGCAGGGATACCCTGTGGAAAACCATGGGAAAACTAACATAGATTACCCTCTGGTGAACTAACATAGCAATGGAAAATCACCATTTTTGATGGGAAAATCCACTATAAATAGCAATTTTCATCCATTTTCCATTGCTATGTTAGTTCACCAGAGGGTAGATGTGTGAAAATCATGGGAACATCATAGGAACATCATGGGAACATCATGGGAAAATATGTGAACATCAGTGGCAAACCTATGGGCTTTCCTGGGAAAATGATGAAAAACACACACTTCACTGCCGGTTCTCCACATGTTTACGGAGGGTACCCGACCCGGTGATTTTGGGATTGCATCTCCTTTGAGAATGGGCCATTGAGTTTGATGCTTTACCTATCAAGAATAGTGATTTTCTAGAGTGATCATTGGATCATTGTCAAATTGCCGGTACAAATCGGAAGTTGATCCAAAGTTGTTTGGACAGTTGGGAGGTCTTTTTGTATCAAGTTCGGAAGGTGAAACCTCAAAGCCCTAAGAAGCCGAGAGTTAAGCGGTGATGTCCAAATGACTGTGGCACCAACTTGTGAACTTCATGCTGTTCAAGTTGGTGTCAATTAAATATGAACTCACCAGTTGAAGACCCTTCTTCTTGGTCTCAGACAATAGGACAACTCCAAACATTAGCTATACTTCAGATTTTATACCCACACGTTTTTTCGGCAAGTTGCCGTAAACTGTGACATAATAGATTAATATATGTATATATATATATTTATTATGCAGCATATATATATATATGACTATGAGATGTCACAACACAAGACATGCAAGATGAACATTTCTCATATCTCACCCTCGAAGGGACTACATGTAGCAACAAAAAAAATGGCGCCAGGCAGTGCCCGTGCCCTCTTCGTGCGCCGATGCTTTGGAGAGAGTGCATATCTGGATGGCATGGGCCAAGAGCTTGCGCTGGAGGATCTGGGGTGCTGCCGAATGCCGAGTCGTAGAGGATTGATGTTTGGTGGTGATAAAATTCATGGCTCATAATGGTCAATGATGGTCATGTTCTTTTGGTTTGGGTCAACTTAGGATCCCAAGTGATACCGCGCTTCGAGGTATCCTTTTCTTCGAGGTTGTTGCAATGATCATAGTTGGGGTCATCCATTCTGTCATTGATGGAGGGGGCCTCTGATAGTAAGGATCATATTGAGTAGTTGGGTTGACATGCACTATTTCCCACTCACAAGGGGTTCTACCCCATGTGCGACGCAAAAACATGTTGCCTCAATTTCTAATTTTGTTGGGGCAAGTTTCAGTATCTGCTGGCTATTCATCCCTAGTTTTGCTGTTTAAATCACAACGAACTCGTTGGTCACACGATCCCCAAGCTTTGAAGGTATCCCCAATCAGTCTAGATCCATGTTTGGGAACATCATGGAACATCGTGATATTTATTTTTGAGGCATATTGAAAGCCACAAAAAAAAAGAGTTGTTTCCAGATGTTTCCATATGGTATCATTATGTATCACTCATGTAACCATATGGTATCACTCCATCCTGTTTTTTTCACTCCAAACGTTGAGAGTCAGTTGAGTCGAGTGAGTAGGACGTGTACCAATCGCTGGTGGAGCATTTGCGCCGCTGGTCCGTTGCCCTGCACGACACGACGCATGGGCTGTGCCTGCTGGAGGCGGCGCGTGTCGATCCAGGATCCATGGCAGGTCGGTGTTTCAGATGGTTTAAGCACATGGTTTAAGCACATGGTATAACCAGTGATGTTAAACAGTTATCACTCATGTAACCATATGGTATCATTATGTATCATGATGTTATGGTGTCACATGTTTGATGATCGAAAAGGATATTTCCACCGTCTAGGATGGGTTTTTCCACTGTGAAACCTATGGGTTTGACATGCTTCATAAACATGTTGAAAGGGGTGTGAACATCGAAACACTTGCCAGTTTAACCATCACTAGCCTCACAGGGTTTCAGCCACAATCGATAGGACCATCATGGATCCTGGGGTGTTGAGTTCTATGCATTTGAACAAGATGCAACTGGGAGATCATGGGATAGCGGGGCTGAATTGGGTAGAAGGTACCATTTGTTCAATCTTGCTATTGCTTTTCTATCTTGGTACCATTCCAGGCTACACCTGGGGGGACCAGACAAGAGTGTCAGACACTGGTAAGCGCTATCCAAGGGACCCGATGGAAATGGAGATGTCAACAATAGACATGTGCAGAGGCTGCAAAAGCCCTGTTGGTTTATGATGTTCATGATTAGTTCGGGGGGTTGTTCGCCTACCCTTTAATTAGGGATTGTCATCATCAGCTTCCTGGTGCTAAAATGATCTTTGGATCGAACTACTCACTCCACATGTAGAAGCAAGCCATGCCGTTTTATGATTTCCATTTATTTCCTATCTTGTCCCCTGTCTATTTGGGCTCAGAAAACATTGCTTCATCCCCTGCTATCCGCAGGCGATGGTGCTGGATGTGGAAAACACGCAGAAGTATTTCAATGACAATGCTCCTCGACTCGCGATCCTCGATTCGCGATCCTCGCCGAGATTCGGATAGGGACCAAACGAACTCTACAGCTTTTCTGTCAGGAGGTTGGTTGATATCAAGGTTTAATGTTGGCAAAACAATGTCATAAACCATCCCCAATTTCACCATAAATAGGTGGTATATAGGTGGTATATAGGTGGTATATGGTGATATATATATATATAAACCATTCCCAAATGGGTGGTTTGTGACATTGTTTACCCCCATGGCACCCAAAAAAAACCCAAAATTCACAGCCCCAAGCTGCGATCATCAGACCAAGTTCCTGGCTGGTTATCCCTGGCTGGTTATACCATCTGGTTATGACTAACATAGCCATGGAAAATCCACCCATTTTTAGTAGGTAAACCATCTATAACCAGATCTGCAAATAACCAGAGGGTATCTCCAAATCTGACCTAGGTCATTTCCTCTCGGTTTTTTTTCATCCCTGGTTGATGTTGGTTTGATGTTAATTCCCGTGCCGAAACGTCGTCGTCCGCAGAGGTTGCCTTCCACTTCGACGTTGAGGCTGCCTTATCGCGGCAGTACTTGGTGCCGCCCAAGGCTTTCTGCTTGGCCCTAGCGGAAGCAGGAGACGGTGGGCATGTGATTTGCCGTGCCAAAGGTCCCCATGTGAAGCAGGATGTTCCCAACGAAAGGAAGGTTTGGTACCCTAAAACAGGGACAACATATGTCAACATAGTGTCTCCCATTGCATCTCATGGTTCAGAAAAGCATTCAAGTCCTATTCAACCTCCAAAACTTCAGAATCCAGCTGAGTGACTTCAGGACTCCTCAGCTACAGTGGTACCGGGAAGCTGAAAACATACCCGGTGTCTCGGGCTGGGTTTTTGGCCGGGAGGCTTCGGAAGTGCCTGGATCGGTGGTTAGCGGGGAGATTTCACTCTCCAAACCTGGGGTCAATGGTCAGTCCTGAAGTCTATGAAAGATTGTAAAGAATGGTAAAGTTAGGCATGACATTTGCTGAGCGCCTTTTTTACCAAAACCAACTGGAGATCTTCGATCCAAAGTTGATCCAACTGGATGAGTCTAGTCCTGGATCCGTACCATTCCAAGGAGACGGGGGAGTACTGCCGCATCATGAACCAGCATGTCAAGAGGCAGGAAACAGCGACGAAAGACGGTGAAAGACGGTGGTCCTCATCGAACATGGCAGTTCAGCAGATGGCTCAAATCCTGTGACCCTGGAAGAGGTAAACATTCGCTTTTTTCTTGCAAGATAATCTTGGACATACGAATTTAGATGTTCATGCTATAATTGATATACTATATACTATATATATACACTATATATTATATATATATACTATATATATACACTATATATATATTGTATGTGCTATATACTATACTTTACTATAATGATATATGCCATAACCTTCATTTTTTTAATTGTTAAAAGGTGCTCAATGTCCGCCAGTGCTGGTGGCTATGGGGCACCAGGGGACCATGGCTCTGAGCTGATAGAGCTCCATGTGCTATGCCTCAACGGCGAGGGATGCGTCGTGCGACTCAGTGATGCCACTCTGGGCCGCGAGGTGCAGCAGATTCTTCGATTTGCGGGATTTTTTGCATTTTTTCCGTTTGGTAAATCATGGTAAATCATGGTAAATCATGGTAAATCCACAAATTATTGGGGGAATCTAGTTTTTTTGGGAATATGTTGTTTCTATGTTTGGACCGTCGCAAACATCAGGATCGTTTCGCAGCAAGTCCCTGCAAAGAAAGGGAGGAGATTGATGATTCACCATGCAGATTCGCCGCTGAATCTTCAGCAAACATTGAAAGAGCAGGGCATCGTGGGTGAGATTGCGACACTTTCGTGCACTTTCGTTCCAACGGATTTGCGTGCTGCATGGCTTATCATCCAGGGATTACCTGTCTTGTCCGGAGAGCTCCTTGAAGGGGTGACAAGGATTGAAGGTATTGAGGTTTGGAAACCACTTCCTGAAAATCTTGAAAGCTTGACGTTTGGCCGGCGTTTTGACCAGAGCCTTGAAGGAGTGATCTTGCCAAAGGGTCTTCATAGCTTGAGATTTGGCGCCTCTTTCAATCAGGGTCTCACAGGAGTGACCTTGCCAGCCGGTCTTCGTGTCTTGGAATTTGGATACAAGTTCAACCAAAGTCTGGAAGGAGTAACCTTGTCAAACAGTCTTCACACTTTGACATTCGGCAACAGTTTCAACAAGAGCCTCATGGGGGTGACTTTTCCTAACAGTCTCCAGAGCTTGACATGTGGGGACAGATACAATCAGAGCCTGGAAGGAGTGGTACTGCCAAGTGGTCTTGAGAAGTTGGCATTTGGCGACAAATTCAACCAGAGCCTGGAAGGAGTGACCCTGCCAAGTGGTCTCAAGAGATTGACATTTGGGTCGTCTTTCAACCAAACCCTGGAAGGAGTGGCATTTCCACATGATTTGCAGAGCTTGACATTTGGTGCCTCTTTCAACCAGTGTCTGCAAGGAGTGACCTTGCCGAGTGGTCTTCAGAGCTTGACATTTGGCCCCTCTTTCAACCAGAGCCTGGAAGGAGTTACCTTGCCAAGTGGCCTTGAGAGCTTGAGACTTGGTGACAACTTTAGCCAGAGTCTGGAAGGAGTGACCTTGCCAAGCCATCTTCAGACCTTTGTATTGGGGGGCTGCTTTAACCAGAGCCTGAATGAAGTCACCTTGCCAACAAATCTTCAGAGCTTGACATTTGGCTGGTCATTCAGTCAGAGCCTGGAAGAAGCCACTTTTCCAAATGGTCTTCAGAGTCTATCCTTTGGTTACAGGTTCAACCAGACGCTGAAGCGAGTTGCCTTGCCCAGTGGACTTGAGACTTTAAAGTTTGGCTGGTATTTCAACCAGAGCCTGGAAGGAGTGACCCTTCCGTGTGATCTGCAGAGCCTGGCATTCGGCAACAATTTCAACATGAGCCTGCACCGTGTGATCTTGCCGAGTGGTCTTCAGACCTTGACATTTGGCGACAAATTCAACCAAAGCCTCGAGGGAGTCACCTTGCCAAGCAGCCTTCAGAGATTGACATTTGGCAACAACTTTAACAAGAGCCTACACCGAGTGGCTTTTCCAAGTCGTCTTCGGAGCTTGTCATGTGGCAACAACTTTAACCAGAGCCTACACAAAGTCTCCTTTCCAAGTGGTCTTCACAGCTTGACACTTGGCTCCTCTTTTAACCAGAGCCTAGAAGGGGTCACATTTCCAAGCGGTCTGCAGACCTTGACGTTTGGCGACAAATTTAACCAGAGCCTGGAAGCAGTCACATTTCCAAGCGGTCTTCAGAGCTTGACATTTGGCAACAGATTCAACCAGAGCCTGGAAGGAGTCACATTTCCGACGGGTCTTCAGAGCTTGACCATTGGTGACAATGGCAACCAGATCCTGTACAATTTGACCCTGCCAATCAGTCTTCGCAGTCTTTCTTTGTGCTCCACATTGGTGAGCAGCTGGTGATTTTGGGATCTGTGGCTCGGGCCAACCAACTAGGGGAATGACCAATTCGCTGAGAAAAAAGCGAGCTGCCAAGAGCTGCCAACTCTCACTTACAAGGTGGTGCCCCGTAGTTAGCTTCGTCTACAACCTGTATTAATATATGTGTTTTAGGATATTTATGGTAGGTATATTTATATATTTACTTTATAGTGAATGGGGTTTATAAACCAATGGGAGGCACCAGTCATTGTATCATTGCTTGATTTGGGGAGAAGTCCTGGAGTCCATCGCGAACCAGGGATGATACCCTTGAAATCCCTGGTTCTTGGTGGGTTTTGTGGGTATATCATGGTATATCCTCCAAACATGAGGAATCTTGACCAACGAAAAATGGGGGCCTAGGAAGTTGGCCCAAAAATATATGGTCGGTTCATGGTTCTGCCGGATTATACTATTTGGTTAAACCTTGTGTTTAATGGGGTTATCAGAATTTACTAACCGGAAATCCGGCTTCCAACCAATCTGCGGAAGAAAATGCCGTAGGGTTTCGGGTACTGTTCCTTCAAGTATTCAAAGATTCTCCTCGCCATTTCTGAAAATCAGTGGGATCCCCTGTTGAGAATCAATTCGTGACCAATTGTTGCCGCTTCATAGTCAAATCCTCAATTTGAGAACACATGAAAAAATCATAAGAAAGCATACTCTTTTGGTAATCAAACATGGCTTGCTGGAAAATCCACCATTTAGTTCGAGGATTTTCCCAGCTATAAACTTTCATTTATAGGCTATTTTTCACCCAGCCACGTTTGATTCCCTCATTAAATCTCATTAAATCTCATTAAATCTCAATTAAATCTCAATTAAATGTCATGAAAAATCTCATCATCTAAATCATATCCTTGAAAAAAATCATCTAAACAAACATCCCGCCTACGCACAAGTCCCGCAGCCGCGCCAGGTCTCCCTTTCGCCTCCGCCTGGCGGAGTCCGAGGATCTGGAGGCCTTGGAGGCGCTGCAAGAGCGCGCGCAGGTGGGGAAGGCCTTGGAGGCGCCGAAGCTGACGAAGCTGTTGGGGCCCTGGGGCCCCGGTGGGGCCCCGGTGGGGCCCCGGTGGGGCCCCGGGAGATCAAGATATGGCTATGGGTCAATACCTATACATTTTGAGTGGGATGAACATCGATTTTAACCCAGCTATGACTTGGGGTGAACAAAAGGTATCAGGGTTTTGACCCATCGCCATATGAATGGGACATGTTACAGGATATCTTTTTTTATGAAGATTTTATGGAGATTTTTATGGGATATGAATTGTTAGATTACTTCTTATTTAATTGGTGGAAATAGTTCGATATTCATGGGATATGATGGGGAGCAATTTTGAATCGAGAATGACACATCAAGTTACATGGTTTATTTTCCCAGTTTAAACAGAGATTTCACCAACCAGAATGGGGATATAATAGGATATAGCAGGGCATATAACCAACAATATTCGACAATATGATAGTTGGCTTTGTCTGAACATGGGGTATACCAATAAGATTACCATTTTACAAGGGAAAATGATGTTTTACGCAATTGGATGTTTGGGTGGCCTATTTTCAAAGCGACCTGGTTTATTTTCCCATAAGTTTGGGGATGAATGTGCCCATTACAAGGAATCACTCGCGATCGTGGGATGACCGTATCCCAGATACCATGTTGTCGTATAAGCAACAATTTTCATGGGGACATCACAGAATGCTTTTGTTTTTCAACAAATAGGAGGAATTATGGAGTTCTAGCAACCAAATCGCACTAGAAGGGGGAAATGTCAAGAGATGTTAAAAGTGGTTTATCAATGTTTATCACCCCCTCTAAGGGATACTTTGTACTAAGCACATCTTAAAACATAGAAAGTGCAAGAGGAAATGGGCGGGGGAAATGATTCATGGATCTTAATGGGATGCAAAGCTACCAGATCGCTAGGTTCATGGGTGTTTTTTTGCCGAGGGGAAGAGAATGGGGTCAACGGGTCAACCAAAAAATGCTGAAGTTGAGTGAAGAATGGTATGAGTTACTGTTTGGTGATAGGTGATGATGATTCATGGGTGATTGCTGAACAATTGCCTCAGCCGTTTTCCACTTCTACGTTCTGCACGACAGATTTCTCATGATTCGATTCAAGCATCCGAAAAAACAGGGGACACATCTTCCTGTACTACGAATTGGAGCTCCATAAAAATTAGCCATTACTTCCCATGAATAGGGCCGATTATGGGAGCTGCCCATCTTCCCAAAACATGATTTTGGGTCAGTTTACCCTGGTCAAGTGCCTATTCTTATGGTTGAATTATTAATTCATTCAGCTGGTTAAACCTGTATTTGCCCTAGTCAAAATCTTCATTTTTGCTGCGACATCCAATTGTTTTTGGGTTGACTGACCGCAGATGTTTCCTGGTCAAATCCATTATTAAACAATTAAACTTCTTTTTTTGATGCTGAACATTGTCCATTCCTGCCGGTAATAATAATCATTTTCGCCATCCAAAATCATCATTTCTCCCATGATAAGTGATCATATTATTTACTACTTATCATAGTATGATTAGTATGATTAAGATGGATTAAGTATGTTTTTGCTATATCTCCCATGATCATTGTTTTAAAGTCTCATACAAATAACATTAAATAACAATAATCACAGTTGTTTAAATCCATTGTTATAGTCTAAACACTAACCATAATCACAATGATCAATGGATATTAAAATCAGCGTTATTTATTTCATTTCCCATAATCATTTAGGTTTTATGGTCATATTATCCATTATCAAATAGATGATGTTCACATACCCCAAAGGGGCATACCTATAGAAATCAAGCATGATTGGGGCATATTAATTATAACCCATATTCAACCCATGTTTCTGGGGTATGTCTAGAGTCTAGTTGGGATATGGGTATGGGTCAATACCTATTAATACAATTTTTAGGCGGATGAACATCCATTTACCAGCTATTTTGATGTTCACCAGGGGTACAATGTTTTGACACACTGCCATATATGAACATATTCCATGAAGTTCCATGTAGTCTACCAAATCTCCCATTGTTTGTTGAAGTCAGCGTCCAGGCCTCTCGCCAGATCTTGGCCCAACGCCTGCGCCTGGCACCTGTTGGCACCTTCGTGGCGGAAGCGGACGCTCCAGGGCTGCTGGGAGTGGCTCGGAGGTGTACAGTAGTCTCTGGTAAACGAACATAACATTGCTATGGAAAATCACTATTTGAATAGGTAAAAATCACCTATTTCATCCTATTTCATCCTATTTCTATGATCCATGCTCCTGCAAACTGTTCGTTTTCTGGAGGGTAAAACATCAAATTAGCAGCTGTATATCATTATATATGAGCATTCTGAGTAACTGTTGTTTAAATCATTAATAATGAAACAACATTGAGTAATTCGTTATTTTGATGATCTGATTAACCAGTTGATTATGTAGTTAAATCATGTTAAATCTTCATTGCTATTTTTTAGTGGTGCTCCAGTGGAGGTGCTCCAGTCTCGTCAAACGTCAGGGCTGGAAGCTGCAAAGACATATGTTGCAGAGCAGCTGGCAGATTTTTGGGGCTTCCAGTGCTTTGTTTTTCATGAAACGTTTAGGTGGATGTGGTGCAAGCTGAAAATGAGAATGTTGGTGTTTTTCAGCATCCAGCTTAGACTGCTTAGAGACTTGGCTTGGCTACAAGTCCACGTGGCAAGAGCGGGCAGTGTTTCAAATCACCTTGACTTGACATTCTCATGACCCCCAGACACCAAAATACAAGCTGTCCGGAACGCAACATGTCCCCTGCACCTGTAAATTTTGATGGTTTAGGTTATCCACTTCCACATCAGTTGTCATATCCTTAGGGATGCAAACTACACAATGAGACCAGCCCCACTTATCATTCCCTTCTGCTGCATCTCTTACCCTCTGGAAATCGATGATTTTCCCACTAAGACATTCAGTTCTAGGAAATTTTCCAGCCACGTTTGATGACACCCGAGGGTCTTTATATATTCCGTTAAATCCCTATTATTGTATATCCCTACAATGATTGATATATCCCCAACATATTCTATGATATTCCCATTTAATATCCTCATATTTGTTTGTTAACCAAGTATTATATATACTATGATGGTTGATAGCAAATCCCATTGTATTCCGATAGTTAAATCAGCAATTATCACTAGAAATTACCATACAATCATGGGTAGATTCGCGCAGCTTTCAGGCCATTTACACTACACAGCTAGTGGACATGGAGCGCAATCTCTCAGCGGAACCGTCGCTGCCTGCGGAGGGAGAAGTGTACCTTGGGCTGCGGACCCTTCGTGGGGACCGAAGTGGAGACCTTGTTGGGAACCACAGTTCAACATTTGTTTATAGGGATTTAAGATGGGCATAATTGGGTTTGAACCATCAACGATTTGCATAGAAATATACTGCAATTGATAAATTATGGTTGGTTGGTCATTGGTTCAGGGGCTATACTATCCAAAATTTGTTGGGGATTATCAAGATCCTTTATTGTCACACCTACTAACCAACTCTGCTTGTTTCATAAACGGTTGCATTCTCATGTGTTTTTTTCATTCTTAGTCTAGAACCTCGGGAGATACTATGTGAGAGAAGGGACTTGGGCAATCTGGAGCTACGGATATATATATATATAACTATGGGAGTTTGACCGGTTTTGCCTGATCAAGTGTTTTCATTCACAGTGTGATGCCGGCGCTTCAGGGCACCCCTTATGTTTTGGACGTATCCACGGTGATGATGTCTCTGTCCCCTTTTGGGCTATGCAGATCTCAGATATATCTCGCATGTCTCCATTGCCATTAACCATCTCCCATGATCAACGATGGCTTCGACTCGTCCTATGAAGGGGCATACAATTTTTATACCGTTGGGGATGGTTCATCCTGACTATCCCATTATTTGCCATTATCCCACAACATCCCACAACTATCAATAAAACTTACGGATTATTCCATTATAACATATTCTAATTATTACTACTAATGTTATTTACTATTTTATCCCACACAGTTATAATATCCCATTATAACATATTATAACATATTATAACTGTGTGATTATCCCTTCTTCTCCCACTTTAAAAAACAAGCGTGTGACACTGCCAGGATGCAGATCATCGCTCTGCACGCTGACCCTGAGGTGGGATAAAAGGTGGAACTTTCGAATGTGGCTCATGTGGGGATAGGTCGATATGGGTAATGTTATGGCTAGGTCATGATGATCAATCAGTGGATTTACGAGTACCCTCTGGTAATGACTAACATAGCTATTGAAAATGGCCATTTATAGTGGATTTCCCCATGAAAAATGATGATTTTCCATAGCTATGTTAAATTACCAGAGGGTACTGAGTACCTCATTTTCAGATAAAGGCCATATCATATACTGATTTAAACATGATTTATGGAGATGCGATTGTAATCAAACTGAACGACATGATGAATACCCCATGGACATCTCAAAAGTGCCAGGCGATTTTCGTGCTGGGGGTGACCATCAGGGAGCCTTGATTTTTGATATTTTTCGGCATCAATAATCAAACTTTGAGATATTTTTGAGTATTAATTGTCAATTTTCGAGAACCTACATGTGACAAGTATTGATGATTAATGCTGACATGAATTGGGTCATTTGAAATTAAGAATCAGCATTTGACAATCATCAGCCAAAAGTAAGGAGATTGGTCATAGTTAACACCAAAGGTTGGACGGTTCAATACAAGGCAATGCCCCATGATTGGCCAAACAAATCATTAGACCCCAAAGTTGGAAGGTGTCATGCGCAAAAGATATACCCTCTGGATCCCTCTGGTATACCTTCTGGTAATCTAGATAATCTAGCATAGCTACGGAAAGCCAATGAGCAATTTTCCATAGCTATTTTAGATTGCTGGAGGGTAGTAAAAATTTGTTTCTCGCAAATCCAGCAACGGCCATGAAGCTAGGGTCATTTTCGTGTTGGTTTATTGGTTTCCAATGACTTAAGACTTTCAGTTTACTAGGAATCCAATGGAAATCCCATAGAAATATCATAGAAACCCTATAGAAACCCTATAGAAATCCCATAAAATTCCCATAGAAATCCCATAGAAATCCCTTTTGAAACCCCAATGGAAATCCCATAGAAATACCCCAGGGACCCCGTCATCACGGGTGAATCATGGGGTACCAACAGCCGGACAGCCCCAAGAGTTGTCGAGGAGACGAAGCACCGAAACACTCCAGTTGAAGTTGTGAATTGAAGATCATCTATATCTAGAATCTATAAATGAATAGATAACTGTATAATATAAAATAAATATAATAACTATAAATATAAATATGCATATATATATATATATACCGTACACATATCTCTGGAATTGCTGAATTTTGAGCCATGAAGCCATCACCCGTTCGACCAGATGCCGATGCCAGGCACCTGGCGTGGGTGCTCTGTGTCTTAGCCGCCAAGCTTTCGGGCGATTTTTTGTGGCAAGTTGGCGAGATGGGATTGACGTTTTCTCAGAAACTTAGGATTTGGCCAAATCCTACTGGCTAAATGTATTCGCTACTGGATTTTTCAGTTGAGCGATGGTCACCACAGTTGAGAGACTGCTTGGTGCTTCTTTTGGGGCTCTCGCTTTGTCTCAGGTCAATCAAATGTCAAAAGTGACAAAATACAAGATGTGTCCGATTGAACATGCCATAAGTTGCAGTATCCCTCATTTGAAGACCCAAATGACCAGTAAATCCCTCAGCTGACACTCCTCGTTTTTCTAAGTCCCCGCCCATTTGGTGAATTATCCCATTTATAGCACCCCACTTACCAAGCAGTTGCCGCGGTTTATCATCGTTTTACCCTTCAAAATTGCCAGGTTTGGCGTATGCTGGGTATACTCACACCCAAAACATTGGTACTTATAATTTCAGTACTCAGTATCTCCTGGCTTCATATACCAATTGGCATATAGTATACTAATATACTATAAACTAACCTCAGTATAGTATACTATATTCCCATTTGTGGATAAACACATCCACAAAACTAACCCCTGGCTTCATATCTCCTCGACAGAGGCATGTCCCACTGGTGGAATCGACTGGAAAACCTGAAAAACGGTAAACACCATGGTTTTCCTGTAAAAATTTCCCATATTTGATGCTTAAATTCAGATTTTTGAGGGCGAAAATCCTCATTTCCCATCATTCTCCATGGTCAAATCCTATTTTCCATGCCATTTCAAGGCTCCGCGACTTCGTCTTGCAGCTACAGAGGGTGGAACACCCTGGGGCCGCTCGGTGAAGAGGTGTTTTGCATCTCAGCCTGGGGATAGCCACAGAAAAGCCTATGAGATATCTTTTGTCATGATTATACTACGATATATCATCAGATAATACGTATATATATAATATCTATATAACCCACATTATATATAGTCATATATATATACATACATACATACATACATACATACATACATACATACATACACACACACATATATATATACACATCATCAGTTAACCTATACACGCCACATTATACATCATCTAAAATAGTCATCAGATAATCTACATAATCCACATTATGATTACAATCAGTGTTATATATGATTATACGAGGATTTTCTGTGGCCATGATGGGTATTTGATTACGTATCAGTGGCAACATAATATTATGATAATCAGATCTCTTATAGTTACAATTCTAGGTATATATATATACTTGTATATACATATGTAGTATGTACATATTTATAATCTATTTGATTATGATAATAGTAACATCACAAGCCACAATGATAGCATATAACCAGTGATATGATCATAGATATTTGTAGACATGAGAACAATGACTATATATTATAGATATACCTGATTATTACTATGACTACTGAGTTGTGATACAAACTTGCCAACTATATATATATATGGTTATTAGATATTATCCGTTTCACTCGTCACGTTGTGTTGGTTGATCTTTGTGAGACGAATCGTATGCTGATGTTGTGTTGGGATCCTTATGATTATTAGATACTATCAGTATCTACCCATGTATTACAAATTAATGATGTTGAGAATGTGTCAATTAACATGTTATTAGATACTGATGTTGCGAATTAGACAATTTGAACTACACGCACGCGTCATGAATTGTTATTATCGTTATTTATTGCAATGATTACTATTGTCAAAAGGGTGGCTTTGTTCGACCCATCGGGTGTGGTTAAAGCCCCAGGGGACTTGGACGCTGAAATCTTAGGGTCACCAACCATTCGGAATTTTCGGGATAACTCGAGTTTTGAGTGCTAACATTAATCCGATAATTCATGGCACCATCAAGTGGTTCCTCAAACGGAAATGTTGAGATGGTTTGGCGCTTCCCATTTAGTGAGGGTTTGGTGGATCAAAATTTGATGGTTCTAGATTCCATGAACTCATAGAATCGTCAAAATCCTCATCACCAAAACAGATTCATTAGGGACATAATCATATTCCCATTCAATTTGTCCCCAAAGAATCATGCTTCCTAGAATATGTGGATATATTTGGTGGTTTGTTTCATCCAAAAAAGTAAGGCATCTGCGAAATTTCTGGGTTTTCATCAATTCCCAATGATGGTTAATGTTGGTTAAATCAACCCATTAAATCCCATTGACCAGCCATGATTCTTGGAACTTGTGTTTTTTCTTTCCAAAAAATCAATATCCATCTGAGAAAACCCCATGAACATCCATGCTATCCAAACTAAATATACAATACGATTTCCCATTATATATTATATATATAATTTATAAATAAATTATATTATATTATATTATATTATATATTATATATTATATATATATTATAATATAATATAATGTAATATATTATAATATAATATAGTATAATATAATATAATATAGTATAATCTAATCTAATCTAATATAATATAATATAATATAATGTAATATATTATAATATAATATAGTACAATATAATATAATATAGTATAATTTAATCTAATCTAATATAGTATAATACAATATAATATAATATAATATAATATAATATATAATATATAATATATAATATAATATAATATAATGTAATCTATTATAATATAATATAGCATAATATAATATAATATAGTATAATATAATATAATATAGTATAATCTAATCTAATCTAATCTAATATAATATAATATAATATAATGTAATATATTATAATATAATATAATATAGTATAATCTAATCTAATCTAATCTAATATAATATAGTATAATATAATATAATATAATATAGTATAATATAATATAATATAGTATAATCTAATCTAATCTAATATAATATAATATAATATAATATATCCAGGCTAGATCTCCCATAAATTTCCCCACATCCACAAGGTGGGCTGTATTGGCCTTAGCCGTTGTAGTGCCTGGAGCCCTGCAGCCGGCAGCACCTTGGAGCGACATTGGTTAGGGGGTGGCCGCCACTGGGGCTGACTGGATTTTGAAGCAAACAACGGGGAAGTCTAAGTCGAAAAAACATATATATAAAGTGAACCAGAGAGTATATACAAAGTGAATGAACAACCGGGGAATTGACAATTGAAATCAATTAAATGTCGGATAAAGTGACTGATGTGTTTGTTCGGAACCTTTGACAAGAATCAGGGCAGAAGCGATTCAAGACACGACAGAAATAGGGATTTCTATGGATTTTTCAGTTCATTGAAGCCCCCCCGAGTGGTCAGAATGCCAGTTTCGGAAAGTCATCTTGTCCACCAGAGACTTTTGGCACTTCCATGGTGTGTTCTTAGCCACCTCCAAGGAGTTCCCAGCGACCTTATTTTTAGAAGCAGTCCAGTGCCAGTTGTCCATCAACTGGGATGCTCGCATTGGATCACCAGTGATCCCCCCAAAAAAACAATGGTTAATGATGTTAATGGTTGATGACTGGTGATGATTTAACTCGATACCTTGCTGGTTATCTGGGTCCCAATGATTCTTGGGGAACACCAATTTTTTCGAGCGGTCATGGATGATCCTGATGATCCGCACTGAGGCATGGAGGACTATGTGAGGCGTCCATGGTTCATCGGTTGCGGATTTTGATGCTTTGCTTCCATTCTCGTATGTAAAAAATGCGCAATTCCGTGCTGGTGATCCTGAAATTCATGGCAAATGATGCAGAAAACATATGAAAACATCATAAACCAGCATAACCCCTGCAAGATTTGGATGGTTTATACATGTTTTTTCCCCACCCATCTCTGGAAAGTCGGGGCTTGCAGGAAGCATCAGGCCGGCGAGCTGTCTGACAAGGTGAGATGGGAAAGATGTGTGAAAACCGGGAGAAACTTGGAAACAATCCGAAACATATGTAAAGCACACAGGGTTGGGCGAAGATCAATCTTCGAGGTGCGAATCTTCTCCGTTTCCAGATCAACACTGCAAATATCTGGCGATAGAACCAAGTTCGGCACGCTGGTTTTGACTTTTAACATCAAAATAGTTGATTCTTATTTTCCATATATAATCATATATATATACACATGATATATATACATATATATATGATATATATATATATGATATATATATATATGATATATATATATATGATATATATATATGATATATACGATATATATATATATGATATATACGATATATACGATATATATGATATATACGATATATATGATATATATATATATGGATGTTCATGCACCTATTAACAGATGATGACACATAAAACCGTCGAGGTTTTGATCCCCATCGGTCATTGGTGGTCATAAACTGCAGATTTTTTCGCGGCGTGAATGGGTCATGTCACTTCTCACCCACAAATTGTGTTCTTCACATGGAGGTTTCCTAAAACGGGGGTACCCCCAGTCATCATCCATATTTTCCATGGATTTTCCATGGGATTTTCCATGGGATTTTCCATGGAATCAACCATCCGATCATCCAAAAAAGGGGAAAGGGGCTACCCCCATTCTTCGAAACCTCCACATGAAACAACACACGAATTCCTATTGTGTTGTGTCTAACTTCGTGTATGACCCAAGGTTGTTGGCTGCAATCTACATGTCAATGATTATATAGTGGTCCTTGAATCAGCCAGGGTTGACTACTGTTGGATCTTTTGCGGGTTTGATTCCCAAGTTTTGGCGTTAAGGTCCGATTTTCCAATGTTGGGCAGTCGATTCATGTTCTTTTCTATTGATGGCTCCCAATATCTTGTTTTACAAAGCCCCACAATTTGTTGTCACTTGTACTTATGAACCATCTGCATGTTTTCCCCCTTGATATATGTCATTTTTTGAAAAAGACATCTTTGGTAAAGATGATTCATCCCATGACATATGAATGACATAGGTTATATGAAAAGATAGGATATATGAATCTCATTTTTCTTTGGTAAAGACATCTCCATCCCATCAGATTCCCCGCCGGAGCCAGGTCTTAGCTTTTCACAGCGGCGGCGGAGTCCAGATCTGCGGCGTGGTGTCGGCCGCGCGGCCACAAGACGTGGAGAACCAAGGTGGGACAGCGACCACATCGGTATCGGTAGCGGTGCTGTGGTGAACCAAAAACGGGGCTGGAACCAGAGAAAAGCTGTGGATTTCGCTGTGAAAAATCAAAAGACCTAGGATATAGACCTAAAATATGCAGATATAAGTAGAAGCAAAGAGTTTTGGGGTAACACCAAAAACTTTGGGAGATCCTAAGCATAGATGTTAAATTGTTGGTAGGGAATGGTGGGGATATATGCACGTATACAAGAATGTGCCCCTTCAGGTTACCACCAGATTGGACTTTGACTTAAGGATTATAAGTTGCAACGAACAATTATAGGAGCATAACCAAGAAGTGGGTGTAGACCGAAGTGTGCAAACTATCTCTTAGACTCTTGCCCAACGTCATGTATACGGTATATGCATTTCATTGAGAATCATATGGTTTTCTCTGAAAATAGGTCCCGTCGAATTTTGATGATTGATCATTATATTTCCATACGCATTAAAATACCCTCTGGTCAACTAACATAACTACGGAAAAACACAATGTTTAATTGGTAAATCCACTATTTCAATGGCAAATTTCAATAGCTATGTCAGCTATGTTAGTTTACCAGAGGGTATCGACTCTGATTTACGGATGTCCGGTTGTTGTGCTGGATCAGGTGCCGCCGTGCTGATTCACTACGAATCTCCGGGGATGTCGGAAACGGAGCCGTCAAAGCAGGCGGATGATGGACGGATCCCCAGGTGGGAAGATGTCCATAGTTACTGTAGATGGGGGTTCAACTCCATGTTTCCAGAAAGCAACTATAGTAACTATAGTAACTATAGTAACTATAGTAACTATATATATATAATATATATATATATATATTGTGAATTGCCCTTGTGCTGTAACAGCCAGCAAAAGGTGTTCTTGCTAAACCCGGCCCCCAAATGATGCACCATGAAATCACGTTGATTTCCTGCACCAAACCCGTCCATCCAGCTCAACTGTAGCAATTTCTTGTGGTCTCACATCGCACATCTTCCAAAATCTTCCAGAATCAGAAGGAATAATATAACTGTTCAAGAGTTGTCACTACCAACAGAACTGGTGATCACAGCCATCAAGCTACTGTACATCATTCATCACACGCATCATCATGGTGGAGCTCCAGCTTGGTGAAGCAGTGGCCTGGTGTAAGGCACCAAATCGTGCTCTTTTCGAAGTTCCGTCGTGCACCAAATCGTGCTGTTTTCATGTGTTTTCTGCGTTTCTTCGTGCACCAAACCGTGCTCTTTTCTGCGTTTCTTCGTGCGCCAAATCGTGCTCATTTCCGCGGTTGCTCGTGCACCAAATCGTGCTCTTTTTCTGCGCTTGCTCGTGCGCCAAACCGTGCTTTATAGGCATCTTCTGTCTGTTGTATATATAACCCTCAGTACGAACACTCATGCACCGGTATAGCCACTGTATATATATATATTGGCACATAAACAAACAAAACAGTCTTCTTTGCTGCAAGCCACACGAATCTTCCCCGAAGGCTTAATTCCGCCTGTTGTGACTTCGGGCCAGGCGCGTCGCCTTCGACGCCACTGCCTTGTCCCCTGCGCGTCATCTTTTCCTCGCGTCCAAGCCCCAAAGCTTCCATGTGCCGACTGCAGTGCATCAGCCATGTGGCCATGTTGTATGTGGTCACTGTTGCATGTTGAACCTTTGCATGTATGTGACCTGCCCGCAGCAACTTTCCAACAGCTTTCAAGCTCTCTGTCTTGCTTTTTTTTCGCCCTATCTCCCTTGTAGTCCGCGCCTCAGATCAAATCTTCCACTTTTGTTGCCGCACATGCACACAGGCGTCGCCCCTTAGCTCCGTTTATATATTCTCTTCCTGTATATCTATCGCCGGTCACCCCTGCAATGGCCTGCATTGGAGAGATCACCTTCTTCAGCGGCCGCTGGGCTGACGTGGAGCTCGAGGAGGCGCGTTTGGGATGGTGCACCGACAAGTGCACCTGAATCGCTTGCCTTGCTGCATGCCAGGCACCGGTGCCTCTGGAGGCACGGCTGCTTGCTTTCGGGTTTGGGAAGTAGGGCGGCTGCCGTATCCCTTCCTGACAGGACTACGTCCTCCAGAACCCGGTCCTCCTCGAAGAACTGCAGGAGGCGGTGGAGGCCCAGCAGTTTTGGGACGATATTCATCCGATATTCCATCGCGTCAATCCGGGTATAGGTTGCTTGCCACCTGTCAGGTGCCATCCACATTGTGGAGCTCCACCAAGTCCTTGGGCGGCTCGCGTAAGAAGAAGGCAGCGTCGCTGACAGTGTATTTTTTTCAAAGCAAACTTTCCTGGTCCTGGCCGTGCAGGCACCGCGCCCCCGCGG